GGAAAGAGAGTTATTCGTGGAGAAACCAGACCCTGTTACCTGTGCTTAACTGCTTTCATGTTGCTCTGAATGCTTGTTTGATCTTCGCTGCCTACCATTGGGGCGATGGCCTCCAAAACATAGCAAGTCCAGCCATGTGGCATCCCTGTCTGCAGTGGGGTCAGGCACAACCAAGACTGTGGCAGAGGAAAATAGAAACCTCGGGTGGCTTTAGTCCCCATCCTGTGCTTTAGCCACTCGTGGCACTGCCAGCTCTGGTCTGGGGGTTTCCCCAGTGCTGGGGGAAAGCTGGAGCATCCTAAAGAGCCTCCTGCTCTTCATCCTTGGGGTGAATTTAAACCTGGCCCAGCTGCCCTGGCTCAGAGGCACACACTGGGGTCTGAGTGCCTCTCCTTGGCTGGGCGGCTGTGGGCACAGCTGTCTCTGGGGAGCTGCAGGGCCGCAGGTTTGGCAGGAGGTGATTTTTCCTCGAGGAATGGGAGCTCTGTTCTGGCAGATCTGGGTGGGATATCCATAAGGTGGTCTTGCTGTGAAACACCAGAGGCTTTGGCAGTAAGCATACCTCCAGCATTGCTGATTTTCCTCTGTATGGCTGTTTCCATGTTATTTGGTTCTCACTTCCACCCGTTTTCTGTTTGTCCCTGTCTGTCCCCTGTTAGGCACAGACACTGGCAGCCCTTTGAGGGGGAGCATCCCCTCCTCTGGTCTTTGTTCAGAGCATGGTGGTGTAGGCAGCCATCCCTCCTGAGCAGGACCTCTGGGTTATGCTGCATGCCAATATATTTGATGAAAAGCTTGTCAAAAAGCAGAGATATAAAGCTCCCCTGGAGCTTATTAGTGACTGTACAGCAACACCTTCTGCTTGCTGCTGGAAAACACCTTGGTGTCCCCAAACTGGCCCCAGCACAGGGTTTGGGGAGCCTCCTGAGCATAACCTTGGGAGTCCATGTGCTCTAACAGAGGTGTCTGAGCTGCCTACAGCATCACCGGGGGGTTTGCAGGCCCATGGTGATGGGGGCAGGTTGCTGTGGTAGCCAACTGGTCCTCCAGCCACCCCATCCTCCCTTGCATCATGGTGTCCCAGGCTACCCACAGTACAAATATGTGATCTGTGCTCAGCAAGTTACGTGTCATTTTGATGGTCTGAATTGCTTTGCTTTTCTATTTGTCTTTCCACTTGGTCATTCGCTTGTCCAGAGGTTTATGGTGAAGCTCCCAGTAAATTGTGGATTATAAACCCACTGATGCCCCTTAAGAAGCTGGAGATTGTACAGAAGAAGCTGCAGATTGTACTGTGTGCCCTTGGGAACAGTCAATCTTCGGAAAAGCTATTGATTCCCAATCCTGGCTTTGCACTCTGGATGAACTTTGTCCTCACAGAATAATAGAAGGTGATTTTTCTTTACCAGCCAGCTGGCCTTCAAATGAGCTACTCACCACACCATCACAAGCTCTAATCCAACTAAGCATGGAAAAGATGGTTTAGGAGCTGGGAAGAGAAGCTGTATCCGTTCATAATGAAGTTTAATACTTCGCTGTATATTCTGAAACACTATTCTTAAATATTGCAGTTGGGTTTTGTCTTGCACGTTACAAGATCAGTGTTTTATGGATCATGCAAATGTTGGCTTTGTCTGTTTGTGTTAGCTGCAAGGCAACAAAATAGCAAAACAGGATTACAGGAGTGATTTGGTAAAAACACCGATTTCTATAATCAGATTTGAATTGCAATCTGTCTGCTTTTACACTGGAGTAAGTTTACTGGAAGAGGATGCGAGGAGGTGAGGCAGAGCTGGGCAGCTGCTTGAGGTCAGGTCTGTGCAGTGCTGTAGGAGTCTGGTTGGGAGCTTGTCTTTTAGTATGTGCTCCTCCTTGTGCAGCCTTCAGCTTTTCCTACCTAAAACTACCTAAGAGAGAGGTAAGAACTGAGAGGCTTAGCGTGGCCCTCAGGATTTCAGGGCCGGGAGCTCTTTCCTTCCTTGCAGGCAGTTCTTTGCCTTCTTTTTTCCCCACAGGGCTCTTTGTGGGTTGGGAACCAGGGGGAGTAGTTGCGGTGGGGTAGGGGCATCCGGGGGATTTCACAACCTTAATGATGCTGGAGGGGCTTTTTCTGCAGGACATCTGCTGCCAGTCAGTCAGGGGGCAAGGGCTTCTGTGAGATCAGTCTTGGGCCTTTAACAAGCCCTTCTGTCAAAGCCTCAGTGTCTTCGATACAGGGGACAGGAGTTCCCCTTTTCAAAGGGAGAATTCAGAGGGAAACGTAACTGTTTATTTATGCGTGTATTTATTTGCCTGACATACTTCTGTCCTTCCAGATCACCTTGGGTACCTTATGTACTTCCAACAGCTTGTGTGAGTGCCTGTCTGTGCTGATGGGGTGCAGAGGAATGCACACAATTCTAAAAGAGTCTAAAATAAATACTGCCCTGCGGTACCTGCCGTCGGGGTGTTTTTCTGGCGGCGCTCACCCCTTGCCCAACACACCCACCCTCATCCCTCCATCTCCAGGCAAATCCCTTCAAGCTCTTCCTCTCTCCCTCTGTGCATACAGGGAGTTTTCCACGCTCAGAGGCTGTTCCTGTGCACCTCCTGAGGGGCTGAGCCTTTCCTGGGGGAACATGCACTGAAAGAGAAGCTTTGCCAGACCACGGCTGCCGGTGCCCTTCGCCTGGACCCTGATGGCCACGGAGGCAGGACTGCATTACCATGGTGATGATCTTAACCAAAACTCGGGAAAGCAAAGGTGCTGACTCTGTAACATGCAGGACTGAGCTGGTAAGCTTTGTGGCATCTTCCTTCAAAATTCTCCTACTGTTGAGAGCTTTGCTGTAGTTCTATAACAAGGTGGTTTGGTGGGGTTTTTTTGTGCTGTGGGGCTGCACCTATAGATAGTTTATAGTACTGGCTTCCACCAAACTGCATTAATATCCAGGCAGCAGGTGATCAGTAGAAGATTGGAGTGCTGTGGCTTTTGCATGTGTGAATTTCAGTAAGCACACAGTGGAAAAAAAAGAGTAGAAAAAAATAAAGTCATTGCTGTGAAAAACACAGGCAAGAAGTTGCTTCGCTAACAGGGAACAGATGCTCTTCATTATAGGAGGATGAGGAAGTGGGGTGCAGGATTAAGAGGGAGATGGTGAAGGGCAGCACTGTGGTGCTGAGCAGTCTTACTGCTACCCTGGAGAGATGGAAATCCAACCATGCCAAACGAGCAGGCAGTGACAAAAAAACCCAAATAAATTAAGGGCAGCAAACAGCCTAAATGAGGCTAAAAGGGGAGAGGGGGGCTGTGAGGCTGAGTGTATTGATGGTAGAGGGAAACGAGGGGTGACTTTTTTATGGGGGCAGTGTTGGAGCAAGTGAAGGTGGGGAGTGGGTGCAGGGGGATGGGGAGCTGTCTGAGGAAGCCTGGAGCAAGGCTGGTCATGGATGTTTGCTCCTCTGCCCTTCTGGAGAGATGGTCACGGTCGAAGACGAAATCAGACCACAAGGCTGTTCCTCACAGGGTGCACTGAGAGCCTCAGATAAGGGTGTGCAGGAACATGGCAGGAAGCATCTGGCAGGAGTAGCCATAAATGGGCATTTTGAGCATAAAAGAAATAAAAATGTCTAAGTTTGCTGAGGATAACAAACTGTCCGACCAGGCTTCCTGGGCAGATATCAGAGGATGCTGAGGTGAAGGCAGGCTGCCCTGGCAGTGCCTGCTGGAGGAGAAGGCAAGCAAGCCAGAGACAGCATTAAATCCTTCCTTAAAAGGGTGAAATTTGGGAAGGAAGAATATCAATATATCAGAAGAACAGCCTTGCTTTAGTGTTTGCTCCTGCCAGGCAGGAGCCAATGGCTGCTGCTCAGAGTGGTGAGGAGGAAGCCTAAGCATCCAGTGCCCAGGGCAGGCAGAGGGGAACTTGCTGTGGAGAAGCAGATGAGAAGTAGTTTCATCTACTATGAGGGGAAGAGATGGGCACCCAGGCTGTGTTGTGGAGATGCAATGCAAAACTTTGCCCTCCCATGTTTGCCAAGTGTCTCCCAGAGCTCCAGGGCTTGGTCAATAGTGCAGGGATAGTCCTGCTTACATGGATTGAATTGCTGGGTTGTCTGGGCTGCTAAGTTGGGGCAGATGTTCACAAGAAGAGTGATCCATCAAAGAAAGCAAGAGTTTTCCTGTTGACTTCACGGGAAAAGCAAAAAAGCAAAACCTAGAGGGAATAAATGTCTGAGGAGCAGGACAGTATCACCTACCAATGATTGATGGATTCGTTTGGTTCAGTTCCCAGCTTGGTGCCAAGACAGAACTCTTAGAAAATGGTAATTACACTCAATATGAGACATATGTCACCTGAAGATGTTCTTCCCCCTCCTATGTTTGTAGGCAGTAGCTGGTCTCTGGGGCTGGCACACAGATGGGCACTGGCACAACTGCTGCTGCTGTTTCTGGGCCTTTTCCCACCTTTGATTTTTTGCTTCACTTTGGCCACTCTTTGGAGACAAGGGCCTGTTCTTGCTGTCTCCTGATTGATTCTACCTGCTGCTTCATAAGGTGGGGCTTGACAGATAGAAACAGCCTGACTTCCCCTAGAAAAGTGGCACAAAAGAAGGTGACCAACCCTGATTTACCTTCTCCCCATCTGCACCCCCTCCCTGTTTCCTGCCTCTACATCCCTCTATATTCAATATTTACAACCTTTTGTATGTGAAATGGGATCCTTTTGTTGGATTGCCCCATGCAGGCAGGTGCCAGCATTTGGGACATGATTTTTATTATTGTCAAGTGAGCAGGCAACGTGTAAAACGTGGATCAGGAGAGGAGATGTGAATGTGGTGGCTTAAAGCCAGAGAAAATGCAGCTATGACAGAGCAGATGAACAGGGAGGTCATGCTGGTGCTTCCCTCAGATGATGTAAAGCCTCAGTCAGAGGGGACTGGTGTTGCCAGGAAAGACACTTCAGAAGCAGAATACGGGTATTTTGGGAGATAATAAAAGAACAATTAGCATGGAAGTGTGTTTTTGCAGACCTAGCTGAAATGGCATGTAGCTGCAGATGACACATTGATTTATTGTATATAAAACTGTCCATGCCCATTTTTAGAAGTCTGATGATGTCTTTTGTGTTGTCAAGAAGAAAATTGCTGGAAAAAGAGAGTGTAAAAAAAAAAAAACACCACAGAGTTTTGTGGGTTTTTTACCCCACAATGGCATTTTTACCTATTTATAGTGCAAATCAGCACAATCCCAGTGTGGACTCTCCAGAAGTGCTGGGGTGAGGATGCCTTGCCTAGAAACACATTATATGTTTAAAAAAACCTAAATAGCTGCTTTGTACCTAGCCAGGAGGCCTTGATGGCCTTGGATGGGGTTCAGATACCACTGCTGCTGCTTTCTTGCCCAATCCTGAACTACTACTGGATTGCAGCTCCAGCTTCAGTTTCTCTGGTGTTTCGGATCCCGGAGCTGGGGGCCTGGCTGCAGCTATTCCCGTGGGTAAGGATTAGGTGCAGGAGCCATGATCTGCAAGCTCAGGCCTCAACACCTCAAGACAGGGAAGATGACTAGGTCTGTCCTCTGGTCCCTGCCACAACAGCTCTGCTGTGGGTGCCCGAGGCTCTCCTGGCCACCAGGTGCTGAGTGGCTTTGCTGAGGCTGGAGGCAGGGTGGTTTCTGGTGCCCAGGTCAGGTCTGCAAGAAGTGAATAGTTTTTCTGGTTGTTTGCAGCACACTCCAAAGATGAGTCAAGGACCTACCCTCTTCTCTTGTGGCGTGATGGGTAAGTAAGAGAAACTTCTGCCTGTGTTTTCTCCAACTCCACTCCTGCTTTCTTATAACGATGGGTGGGAAGATCTCTCTCAAAAAAAAATGCTCCTCTGCAGACCTTGGGGTGGGCATCAAACCATCTGCCCTACACAGCTGGAATGGAGGAACACCCACAGTGGTGGGCATCACGCCTGTGCCACCCTCCTTCCCAGAGGTGGTTGTCCTGCCCCATTGCCATTGCTGAGTGAATTGCTCATCTCTTTCCCCCTCCCCTTTGATATATCTGCTTATTTTTAGAGTAATTTATGCAGCTGAGCTTATAACTTACATTTTGAGCCTGAGATTGTCTTTGAGGATCCAGCCCACGAGTGTGTGGCTCTTGACTGTTTGCAAGATGCAAGTCATAAATATCAGTATTATCACTAAAATGTTCCACCACAAAGTGTTTGGAAAATGGAAAGGCCTCAAACAATACGGAAAATGTCTTATATTTTGCCTTGGACAATAACCATGATATAGGAGGTTTAATACCTTTTATTGTCAGAGCTTGCTATCAATTTTTATGCTGAGCAGCCACCAACATTCACGGGGGATTTGTACCTCGGCCGATGATCCTGAAAAACTGATAGTGCTGGAGGGTGTGCCATGAGATGGTGTTCTTTGGGTTCTGTAGGGAGGAGGCAGTCACCAGGCGGCGTCTCAAAACCCAATTAAAATTGTAGGTCAAGTTTGCACCAAGCTACTTGCTGTGAAAGCCAATACTCCCCAGACAAAGAAGCTGCCCCTTTTCTTCGTGGACACAACGCTCATTAGTGTTAATGGGAGCCGAGCACACGCATTGACAGGAGATATTTCCCAAGCTCCCTGATAACTCCAGTCATTGGGGGGCTGGGGGAAAGATGGAAAGCATGTGGATTTTTTCAAATGAAAGTCACAAGCTTCAGAGTCAAGAAGAGGTAGAGACAATCCAGAAAGCAGGATTTTGGGGTATTTGCAAAGCCACCAGGGCAGAACAGCATCTTGGTGCGTGCTCAAGCAGAGTCAACCCAAAAAGAGAAAAAGCCACATGGGGAAAGCCAGCGAGGCGTAGCTGGAGTGGTGGTGAGACCTCACCACAGGAAGAGCAGGGCACGTTTTGCCATCGTGGTGGGGAATTTCCCTCCCTGGGCACGAGGAGCCCGCAGCCCACTGGTGTGTTTGTTCTCCGTTGGGAGGTTTGGGGGCTGTTTTCATTTCCCGTTGGAGCGCGGCTCTGCGCGCCGTATCTGCATCTCATCTCTGCAGCGGGAAGGCTCAGCTCATTATGGCCATTCAGTTTGTTCCACATTTAGCAACCATCTCTCTCAAGCATAAACGAGGGGCAGTGAAAAATGCAGGCTGCCTCTTCCCCTGTGCACAGGGACTGGGAGACCAAAATTCAACTTGAACAACACGGGGGAGGAAAAAGAAAAAAGGAATTGGATGCACATCCGTGTGTAGGGA